TCCTGCTCAGTTAGTAAACAACTTAAATGCTACCAGTCAGGTGGAAAATACGGTTGGGCTATCACATCACCAATGGTCTCCACTGCCAAAAAAAAAAATGGCTTAAATACCCAACAAATTTTGTTGTATCTTGAAATCTCAGATGGAAGAGTTTTACACTGAATCACTGGGGAGGAAGAGAGGAAGATTAGCAAAATGTCTCTTATTTTATGAAAGCAAAATACTTACTGCCAAGTCACTGTATATGTGGTCACCAAAGTAGAGAACCTTAGAGCCTCTCCAGCCAGTGAGCTTCAGAAACTCATAGAGGTTCCCCTGCAGAAACAGTGACAGTGCATTGGGCATGTACAGGTACAGTGACATGTGCAACTTGCACATACACAAGCATGACAAGGGAATTTAATATGCCCCTAAAAACATTTTTATACCACAGATCTTGTCATAGAAACAAAGAATTTAGGGATTGGAATGGACCTTTACAGATCATCTAGTCCCAACCCTCCCTGCCCCAACCGCCTCACTAGATCAGGTTGCTCAAGGCCTCATCCAGCCTGGCCTTGAACGCTGCCAGGGTCAGGGCAGCCACCACATCCCTGGGCAACCTGTGCCAGTGACTCACCACCCTTAGAGTAAAAACCTTTTTTCTCACATCCAACCTAGACTTTCCATCCTTCAGTTTGAACCCATTACCCCTTGTCCTGTCATCACAGTTCCTAACACAGAGTCCCTCTCCAGCTCCCTTGTAGGCCCTTCAGATATTTGAAAAGTTGCTCTGAGGTCTCCACACAGTCTTCTCTTCTCCAGGCTGAACAGCCCCAACTCCCTCAGCCTGTCTTCAGAGAGGAGGTGCTCCAGTCCTCTTAGCAACTTTGCGGCCTCCTCTGGACTTGCTCCAACAGTTCCATGTCCTTCTTATGTTGAGGGCACCAGTCTATACTGGTGTACATGCTCAATTTATACATTACGAATCCCAGATTTTCCAGGTGATTTCAGTAATCCTGTCACTTCAAGAGTCAAGGACATACCACACCAACAAAGAATCTGTAAAACTTCAGACCTTGGAACGACTCTCCAAGAACACAACTACATTTTAGAAGCTTTTATGATCCCTAAGGAAGCTTGGGATTCTAGGAAATAGGTGCTAAATTTGAGCTGAAAGAGTTCATTGAGAGCATACCTGTTTGTAAATCTGACCTTTCTGCAGCTTGTGGATTTTGTCCCAGAGCAATACTCCCCTTTCATTCACCTTCCGAAAGGGTCTAGAATAGACACACAAGTGGTATGTTGCTGTAGAAGTTCTGTCACTTCTTGGGAGCAAATTAAAGCCTTAAGATTGAAAATATTTATCTCTCCAGAGGAAAACAGAAGGAAAATCTCTCTAGCATTTGAACATTTTGCAACGGAAAAAGCAGAACTCCACAACTGTCACATTAACCAGGGAAATGCAATGTGTCTCCCCAGAGTCTGAGAACTGCTGAGAAGGTTCCCACACAGAGGGGAAGAAACAGCATGGATTGTGCCACTCAGAAGGAGACAACAGAACAAAAATCAGTGAGGATGAATAGTATTGCTCAATACTCATTTTGTACAGCTGGACAACTGAAGGGCAGAGGAGTGGGAATAACATGCCCAGCAAAGTTCTTACAGTTAAATGAAGGGAAAAAATCCCACCTATCTCACCTTCAAGTCATAAGGAAGAAGTCTTTTCCAAGTGCAAGAGTAATGCAAAGGCATTACAAATGTGTTTACCTAACTGAACAACTAGGTCAAATATTCCAGCCTGTCAGCCAGACAGATGCCCTTTAAATATCATGTGTGGCTAAAAAAAAAACAGAAGCAATGAAAGGCATTTCTAGACAAGGGGCTGATTCCAAAAGGCATCAAAATTTCCTCAGGTTCATGAGAAACGAAACATACTTCAAATCAGGAAAGAAACATACTTTGACTTACAAGCAAGATGATAAAATCAGCTTCTGTCATCCTAACTCACTCCAGAGCTAAGACCTATGACAGCTCCTGGAAATTTCTTAGACAAGAAATGGTAAATAAAATTTAGACTTCAGAACTGGGTGTTGCTGCATTCTGTAACAACCCCACACAGGATTTCAAATATGATATTGTTTCTTGTTGCAGCCAAATATATAAATATATTCCATAACATACTCTGTTGTCTTACAGGGAATGAGCTGCTGGAATCATTCATGACTGACCAAACACTCACCTTCGCTTATCATTGAAAAAGTTTGGCTTGTCAGCCTGTACAATGACCACATCAAAGAGATCCCTCCAGTCCTTGCCAACTATGAACTTCATGCCTTTGTCCCTAAAAAGGATAGAGGGATATTAACAACAAAGCACAACAGAAGTGCAGATATCTGTGCAGTGCAATGAATTCACAGAATCATAGAATTTAGAGGTTG